TCACAGCCATTGAAGTCTCAGAAATGAGTCATTCTGCCTTTGACCGGTGGCACATTAGCGGTGCGATTGGCATAACTTTCATGTTTCCCTCGGACAGTTCAGGGCTGTACAATCCAGGAATGTTGTACCTCTTCGGAGTGTGTGGGAACGTAGAGGAGGCTTGCATAACTCAAAAGCTCTAGTATTTTGAGTCTTAACCTTAATTGTAATTAATGGTGCTACGTCTGATGCTCAGAGCAGAAAGTTTAATGCATTATTTATCCATAGATTTGTGGTAGCCACTTGAGTGCATTTCATATCACTGAGACCTTGTTTTCAGTCAGGGCTCCTGGGCTTGTTCTGGTTACTTTGGGGCATAAGAAAGTTAGTAGTTGGTCCAGCGCCTTTGTAAATACCAAGGGTATCATTGGATGCTGTCTTGGTTAACCTAATGATTTTTTTTTTTTTTTTAAACCATTGCTATGTGCGAGTTGATTAAAAAAAAAAAAAAAGCAGAGGCTTCTTAAATATAGTCTGTTCTGAATTAAAGGGTGTGGTGTTGGCTTTGAATGAGCTTGATGCAGCAACAAGCATGCAGCAGTTGGTAAATAAAGATGGATTTTCTTTTGTTCTGCTGGTGCTTGCTGCTCATTATTCTCCACTTACCCCGTGAGCTTCCCAGGGAGTGGCAGCTGTTTCTGATGTTAGACACTCTATCAGTGGTAGACAGCTCCAGATTCGGTGAGATACTGTTGTGGGGAGGAGAGGAAAATAACCTAACCCTGCATTATTGTAAATCCTCAGTAGAATTAACTTTTCATGAACGAAAAGAGTTTTGTGTTTAACTTTTTCTGAAACACTCAGGCATAAGCGTGCTTTGCAGTGTGTGTTACTGTGCAAAAGCTTTTCTGGCATGAGATGAATTTACATTCTAAGTGTGTGTTAAGTATTTTAATGTGCAGTGTGTGGGGGCAGACACAAGGCAATAAAGGGAAATCAGTCTCTAACAATCTTCATGTGTAATTCCAGATATACACAGTTTGGGAATCTTTGCAATTTGGAGATGGCTTGGTGTAAACAGAATGGTACATAAAGATTTTAAATAATAAAGCTAGCAAGCTACAGAGGAGTCTATTTGGTTCCAGGATTTTATATGTAGGATTTATAACCCATGCTTTTGCTTTCCTGTCTCTGCAGTGTTAGCATTCTGTTACTGAAAACAAAGAAGGCTCTGCCAGGGCATTACACAAGCAATGAATCACAGAGGAAAAAATGTTTTGCTTTGTAAATTGTTCACTTTTCCATGGTGGATCATTATTATTATTATTATTTTTTTTTAGTGTTGTCTGATAGAATTTGCCACACATGCTTGCATTTACTGTACTCAGTACAATTCTTCTAGTGTGACTACGTAACTCCTAATATTAGTGACTTGAAGTAACTTCTTACGATTCTCGAAAACAAAACCGCAACAGGAACAAAAAACACAGGGCAAAAATTGGAACGGCTCGGTTCACTCTTCGGGCATGACAGCTTACCGAGTATATCAGAGGAAGGAAAAGGTGTTAATGTTTTTCAGTCAGCTTTGTCCCAGCACTTCCCCATAATTATTTTTTTGTCTGTATTGACAAACTCCTTCTCTGTCCAAAATACTTGGATTTGCTGTCGTGATAAGTGTGGCGCTCCTCACAGGTTGTAGGAAGTTTATAGTGGTGTAGCTGATAATAAAAATATAAATTTGTTTATTAAGAATATGCACTTTGTACATTTTCTTGATGACTGTATTGGTGAATCTGTGTTTCAGAACTTCTGTAGAGGAACGATACTTTGCTCAGGCTTGGATGTAAAATTACACGTACAGATGTGATTGGGAAGTCACACACCAGGCAATGTCCTTTGACTTTGCTGCGAGATGCAGAAGTATAACCTCAGTGTGTTATATAATAAAATTTATACCACGGATGCTGCAGTATGCTTCATACTGTCCTTGGCAAGAGCAATAATCAATAATATGTATGCTTGCCATATTACAGGATTCATTAAGCTCTGGACGTGTGGAAAAAGAAGTTTAAAATCATGTTACTTATTTGCAAATTAAAAAGCTGCATCAGGAATCACGCAGCTAAAGCAATGGATAAGGGAAGGTCCAAGTAGAGTGGTCCTTGCAAAATGCCTGGCAGTAATGAAATCCTTGATTTTTCACGTAGAGAGAGTGAAGAGTGAGTGAGTGTGGAGGAGGATGCTATATATGTATGGAATACACCATTTTAAAGACTGTGTGATTAATCCTGTTAGATTATGTGTTTCTAACAGAGAAACACATCAGTGGAATAAAGCTGTAAGAAAGTATGAGAGCCAAACATAAGCATCTAACCTGGGAGGAAGAGTCTCTTGTGACAGTACAGTGTAATTTTGTGTAAAATTATGCATACTTCACTGAAAATAACCAGAAAATAATTTCAGAATCTATGAAAAATAAATGTCTCCTCCGTAAATACCAATGGGGAAGACATGTAGCGTACGTTAGGGAGTAAGGGAGATGGAAGCCCTGTCTTGCCCCTCTTCAGATATTTTTCATCCTATCCAATCTGGATTTAGTCCTAAAGGTAGGTACGATAAGGGGCATGTGATGGTTCCTAGGTCTCCTGAGTCTGCTTTATGCAAGAGAAGAAAATACCAATGAGTCAGGTGTGTAAAAGTGCGTTCCAAAATCGTGATAGTCCGGGCGGCTGCCTCCCCAACCTGCTTACCTGGCAAACCTCTCGTCAAGAGCTAGGCTGAACATGCCATGTATCTTCTTGTCCCTGTAGTCACATCTGCGGTGTAATAGTAATGAGATTGGAGTAATCTCACTGATCTGGGCTGAGTTGGACTGGTAATTTAAATGTGAAAGGCTTCGTAATCTCCTACTGATCCCAGGAAGTTTTCAGCTTTTAATTAAGGTCAGAATTAAAAAGATGATGACAACGAAACCTTCTGCATTTACTGCCTTGATTATAAATGTTAAGCCATGACAGCTATAGGTGAGTTCTTCTGAAATTCCTAGACGATGTCACTTTTGTAAACCCTGTATCATAGGTACAGCTGTAACAGACGTCTCTGAAAGAAAGACTGAGAAGGTTTGTGCTTACTCCTTTTGCTCTTGACTTTCTTGCCCCGCGCCCTGGTTCATCGGTGCAAATGGGTGTTTTCTGCAGATGTGGCTGCTAGTGGACAGGTAGCTCTGTGTGACTCTCTCCACTGGTTTGGCAACTCTTACTTTCTTGCTTTAGATTAGAAAATTAAAAGCCTAACAAGGGCTAAACGGGTGAAAGCAGCAGCTAGGGGTGCACGCACCCATGGCCGCGTGGTGTGGGCATTGGGGTTGTGCTTGTGCTTCTGTATGCAGGAGGGAGAAGTGTGAGTCTGAAGGGAGAAGAAATGGCACAGCTGGTGCCTGAAGCAGGTTGAAACGGCATCGCAGAAGGAGAGGAGGTCTGTGGGGAGAGGAAGGAGGCAAAGCAGCTGCAGGGGGAGTTCCTGGGGCAGGGTGCACATCGCTGGGAGAGAAATTGCCAGCAGAGGAGAGCTGAGCAGCAGGAAAAGAGGGTGTGAGCAGAGCCTGGAAGAACAGGAGAGCAGCAGAAGGTTACCAGAGCCAATGAATCTGGGGAGACTTTTCTTCTTGCTGCTCCCAGTGGTTGTTTGAAGAGCTTGCCAGCAGATGAAACCATGAGCACTGGGTACCAGCCACTGCAGGGGCAGCATCCCGGGGGGTGCAGGCATGCTTCTGCTGCGGCAGGCCAGAAAGCAGCTTGGCTCCTGGTCTGCCCCCTCATCCTCTCCGTGATGTTGAACAAACAAATGAGAAACTGTACTGGAGGGAGGAAGGTATAGCTGCTGCCCAGCTGTGGGTGCTTTGTAGTGACCACTTCTCTTTTCTTTTTTTCTTTTTTTTTTCAAATCTGTTGTTGTTGAGGTGAGCAGAGTTGGAAAAGTGTGGCTGGTACCCTGACTTGAATAGCACTTGGAGTGAGGCTTTTGTGTGATTCAGCCAAACAGAAACATTGCAGGACCTTGCAGGACCTAGAGGGCCAGCTTGACACCATGTAAGGCTATTTGAGGTTCTGGAGACTGCCTGAGAAGATGACAGCATGGACAATGTGCAAAGGGGGAAACTGAAGTACATTAACAAAGTCACCCAGAAGAGCCCCCATCTTCCTTCCTCGAAGCCCAGCTGAATAAATCCAGTAAATAATGAAGGGTTTGATCAACTCTCTTATTCTGCTGGACGTTTTGAACGTGGCTGTAACACAGTCACGCAACTGTCAACCTGTGTAGGTTACTCAGATGAGCAGTAACATGGTGTGAGCAAGGGATGTTTTCTTTGACAGAGAAAGGTGGAATATGTTTCAGAATAGATGTTTGTTTTCTTTTTTGTGGTGGCTATAGATCATCCAGTGTTTTCCCCTTCATATTGTGATATATCATCTTGTGTTTCATGCTTGAGATGTTGTGAGAGGAGTGAGTGATGTTATGTAACTTAAACAGAGACTCATCTTATGATGTTCTAAAAGTGACTGTTGGTTTGATAAAGCAGTTGACTAATTAGTAAATTACCCATTGTTGTTTAAAATACTTGCACTGCAAAATGTAAATGAAAAAAATTTCTCCACTTGTCAGTATGAAAAATGACAATAGCAAAAATAATACATAGGACATCTGCTCTGATTTTTTTAAAATTTAAAATGCATTTAAGGCAGATGTTGCGGAATTTGAATGGAAATCAGAGTAGATGGAAGAACAAAACATAGCTGTTTACCTTTTATGAAGTCACATTTTTATGGTTAACATCGCTAGCAATATCTGACTCAGTGCCTGTGTTTTTTCCACTGTTTGTATCAGAATGAACTGAATGTTCTTAAAGCTGCTGCTATGTCAGGATGACATACAGTTTCAATATTAAAAAAAAAATAAGATTAATGAGTATTTTGGGGTGTTTTCTGATATTCTCTCCCTTTGCCCATCCTTTCTTTCCAGGAGAATACATAAAAACATGGAGGCCACGGTATTTTCTTTTAAAGAACGATGGCACATTCATTGGCTACAAGGAACGACCGCAGGATGTCGACCAGCGGGAATCACCTTTAAATAACTTCTCAGTAGCTCGTAAGTGTTTTTACCTGCTCCCTCTTCCAGTGTGGGGGTGCATGTCTTCTTGTAGTCGTACGGCTGGTACGCTGCATCAGTAACATTCGAATCTGCCCAGAGCAATGTATCTAAACCCTAACTGTGTTTATCTGAGATGATAAAACCCCCCTGTGTTTCTCAGGAATGACTCTGGTGGGATGGTTTGATGCTCTTCTTTTTTTTTTTTTTTTTTCCATTTTTTTACTAATTTAGTAGTTTCTTTTTGTAGAATAAACCGGGTTTATTTGTTAATATTTTGTATGTCTGTTATTCAGCAAGTTGCTTTAAAGTGAAAATTAACCCAGACGTGTGTCTCGGTACTTGGCAGGTAGGCACAGCCAAAGCGTTTCATCCTCTGTTCTGCCACCAGAGCTGGATTCAAGTGTCATTGACATAGGTCAAACATAATTTGATTGTTAGCATAAGAAAATGCAGAGTGAGCACTGGTTTTAATGAAACACACTCAGTTTTTCTTAGTTTTGAACACAAAACCATTTTTCTTCTATTAAAGCCAACAAAAGGGTTTGGGAATAGCAACATGTCCTAACCTCTGCACTCTGTCCTGTGCAAACATTTCCAGCTTTGCTCAGGTGCTGGAGCACAGGATGCGATAGAAGACTCTGAAGATAATTTCCTTTCCTTGCTCATGTTTTTAACCTTTTACTGGATACTTCCAGCTTTTATTTTCTCCTGTTCTTAATTTTTCCTGTCTCATGATCTGCATGTGTGTAGTTCAACCACTTAAAAATAGATCATTGTGGCACCTGTTATTAACAACGATCTGTTCTGTGTTCCTGGTGACTCGTGGAAGTGAAGCTCTGCAGAGAGAAGGGTAGGGGCTTTCCCTCTTCGTTACCAGGTAGCATGAGATATATCGGGTTCATCTTTGTAGTTGACCTTTATGCAAACAGGTTTATTTTGCAACACCCTGGTCCCAGAAGAGGGCTGGACCGCTCTAGGAACTAATCCAAATGTTCATTTTTTTGCAGCTGGTAGCAACATATACCTGTTCTGACTGATGGTGGGAATAAATAATGGACGTGCTGTTGCCTGGTGCCAAGAGTGCTTTGGGGGTTTTTGTCTCATTTTAGAGAGAGAATTGTCGTAGTGTTTTCATTTTGGTAATGACATGGTACTTTCCTCTTTAGACAGGTATCTCCTCATGGATTAAGAAGGTAAAGAAAAGCAGCAGAAAGCCATTAATTCATAAATTAATTCAGTACTTGGTCTGTAGCCAGAGGCTTTTAACAAATGCACTTTTTGCAGGATGCTTCCATCCTGTTGCTAACTGCATTACTTACGATAATTATTTACTGCAGCTCGGTGCTAAGGAGTAAAAAAAGATGTGTCCGTTGCCTTCTCTTCATCCAAGTTGCCTTCAAAATGGGTTAACTTAAATCAGGTTTCACAATAGGAATATGGTGCTTTTTTTTTGGCAGATTGAGCCCATCAGTCTTGGCATTTATAGCTAAACAGGTTTGTTACCATGGTATCAGAGCATTATCGAAAAAGATGCGCCACATGCTTACAGAGTAAGGTGTAGCCCCCCATAAGAGGGATTGTGGGGAGGGTGGTGGGTGGAAGGATGTCCCTCACAGTGGCTCTTGCCTAGTGAACCAGTGGCAGGTTGGGAAGGCCTTGATGATTAGGGGAGAGCCTCCTTGCTAGAAGATATTTTTGTGGGTTTGGGCTCACAGAAGCAGCTCTTGCCCCACCAGGATTTAATTTCTCATGTAGGCACTGGCATGCAGTGCTGCCAGCACCTGATGTGCAGCTCATCTGGGTACCCTCCACACTTGTATCATTTGGGTATGTTTTGCACCACAAGTTTTCCCTTTGAGCCTGCCTGCCTGGTACTTTCATTTGGGTTAACTTGTTGAGTTAGTGTGAGCGAACTCGAGCTGCCTCTGGAGAAAGGCTCGGGCCAGAATGCAGCTTCGTGCTGCAGAGGCAGCCTGTAGAAGCTTCTTGCCAGTGAAAGGTGGGGGAAATTTAGTGTAAATGTCCAAGTAGCCATGATAGTCCTGACGTTTTTTGTTAATTAGTGAACTGTTTGGTTGGGGGGGTTTTTTGTTGGTTTTTTTTTTTTTTTTAATGAGATGGCAGGCTGTCTCTGTCAGTCTGTTCTTTGGAAGTGGTCCCATATTTCTGATTAAGTTCTTCACCCTCTTCTGCTGTAAAATAACATAGGCTTTTTTAATATTTGCAATTAAAAGGGTTTTTTTTCATGACTAGGGGACTCTTCTTACTTGTAGTGTAAAATTCATATTAAGTGATTTTTGTCAACCCGTGAGAGGTAGGAAATACTTAATTCAGGAGAAAACAGTGAAAGAAGAAAACATCTAACAATGGCCTGTCTTTTCCCCTAACAGGTATGAAGAAAGTATTAGCAATAAATAGAGTGTGCTTTCCATGTGCTTAACAGTCTCTTCTTTCTCTTACACTAGCCTTTTCCTTTCAGTCTGTGAGGGTTTTGATCACCCATCTTTGAACGCTTGTTTCTAGGGCTTTCCATGGGTAAAGAGAGGCTCAAGTTTTTTTTAAGTACCTTTTTCTCCACCTAATTTTCCCATGTAAAATAGCCATATATCTATGTTTTATTTAATGATATGTTTAAGGAGTTTATTTTCCCTGGAAGTTACCTACAAACAAAAAAAAGAAAAAAAACAAAAAAAAAACAAAACAAAAAAAAAAACCAAAACAAAAACAAACCACACCACCACCCCCCCCGAAACCCGCCCCCAAACAAAGCAAAACTTCTGAAAGATCGTGCCTGAGCATTTCACTCTGATTTTTTGAGTCCTATTTGTGTTCATATGTCGTACTTCACCACTAGTACGGCAGAAGGAATAAAAAAGCCTGTACCTAAATAGTTCTGCTCCAGAGACCCTGCAGATAAAAAACTGATAGAGCCTGTGTTGTAAATCTGTGAGATAAGTAGCCTTCATACCGATTGTAATCTCGGATTATCATGTATGTCTGCCTATTAGGTTATAAGCCTTTAAAACCATATAGCTGAGAAGAGCAGTATATTGTGAAAAACCACATGGAGAGAGAGGCTGTTCCTGTTAGAAAGAAGGGATTATTTCTCCGACTGACAAAAAGGAGGGTGCACTGTGGTGGTTTTGTTGTACAACTGAAAACATAATTGCACAACAGTATGAGTACTCCTTTCGGGACAGGGCTGCATGTCCGCAGTCAAGCATTTATCAGGGGGCACGGGATGGCCAGATTACCGGATAAATTCTTTGTCTGCTGTTACTAGGGGCCACCTTAGTCCACATCTGTAACTCAGGGCTCCCAGCTCCTCACTTCTGCCATGCTGAGCTGTTTGGGGGCAAATCTATCTGGTGGTGCTATAGCAGAAAAGGAGCACTTCAACATAATATTCCTATTTGCCTTTCCAAAGTTTTATTTATTCATCATGTTTTTTGCCTGATTTACCTTCCCCCCCCAACCCCTTCCTTAAAGAAACCAACGCAGGAATGGGAAGGATTCTTCCTTGACATTATTGTTTTAAGTGTGATGTCATCATATAGGGAGCAGAGTTTGACACTTTCGTTGCAAGTAATCTGCGTTTTAGCTTAAGTGCTGGGGAAGCAAATATTGTGACATTTTAGAAAGTCACTGGGATAATACTAAGTGTCTTTCAAATACAAAATGGTAATTTACATTTGAATGCCTTGGTGTCTATTCCTGTTAGGAACAATTTCTCTGTCCTACTTACTTTAAAAGACCAAAGCCAGGAAAGAATCAAGAGGTTCTTTAGAGCAATTTAAATCATTTTTAACAGGCTGCTGTTTATAGTACTTACTTTGTTGCAAATGGGGAATACTTATGTTGGCCTGTTTGACAGGAAAAACTGTCTTTGAAGTGGATAAGCAACCCTCAGCCCGTGTTTGAAATCTGAATGCTTTTATAGCAGAACCCCCAAACATGCCGTGACGCAGACCTAGTACTGTACAGCATCTGTACTTGTGCTCTGGTGTAGTGGTGCATGTTGCAGTACCTGATTATGGAAGGCAAGTTTGGTGCTTCTCTAGCTTGCCAACTACAGTGAAGAGCACAAAGGTGCTTTTCACAGTAAGAAAAACCCCTAATGTTTCCTTGTTTCATTGATAGAATCTGTGCAGTTGTCATATATGGGGAGAACTAAGGGGTAGCTTCAAACTTTCTGAAACCTATGTGGTACAGCACTTTGGTAAAGTAATTTAAAAATGAAGCCTTCTGTATTTCTTGATATGTGCTGTTATGATTGAGCAGGGTAATTAGACAGCATATTGTTCACTAAACAAAACACTTCTGTGTGACATACTTGAATTATAGTGGTTATTAACTGACAAATCTCTATTATTCATCTTGCTGTATGCCTTAAAGATTGCTGGATCAGCAAGCTTAACAAATATCAATGGACAGTGCTGATTTAGGGGAAAAGTGGTGATGTTAATTGGTCCCCTTCTATGACATAAAATGGCTTGTGTGGTTTATTATGCTGAAATTAAATGGTTAAAGTTTAGAGTTCGTGGCTAGTTTAAATGTCTGTGCTGCTACTTCAGAATACTTAATCTGTGGCAGTAAATGTGAATCTAAAGTCTGTTTTAAAAAAGTAAGCAAAACCTCTCCGTTTATTTCTTCATAATGTTGTACTACTGGATAAGCATAGGAGAACAGCTCTGGATTAGCACAAGGTTAGAAATAGCCTGAGTTTCTTCTTCAGGTCCTTAGCCGAGTTCAGTATCTGTTAGGGCTGCATTGTGCAGGCTCATAGAGGACAACCCCAGCCTTAATCTAACCATGTTAAGCAGACAAAAATGGGAGACAGAAGAAACAAAGAACAACAACAAAAGAGCAGGTAAGCTAAAGTGGGCCATCCGGGA